GCTTAGGACAAGCTGAAGACAGAGAAAGTTTGTGCCTCTTGGCTCACTTACCTTAAATCTTGTGAGATCCCGAACGAGCCCCCAAAATGATACCGGAATTGTCAGGCCTAGTCTCCCAGCCAGGAACAGACCCCAGGCTGCAGGGGCAGCGCTGAGCCCCAGCCACTAGACCCCCACGGGTTGGTGTCTCACGAAGCCGCAGCAGGAACTTCGCAGACGCTCAGGCAAGCAAGCGAGAAGAGGCAGTTTGTTTAGAGAAAGAAAAGTTTATTGAGGAGAAAAAGAACAGAAATATAGTGGGACTCCCAGGCTATGGAACCAGGCCTGGGAGAGGCAAAGAAGCCAAAGTGGAGTCCTGTCTCAGGGAATATATACCTTTTTTCCCTCATTATTCTAAAGCTCCACCAGTCTCTTTGTGATTGGTTAGTTCTTGGCTGTTTCACTCAATTTGCTACCGAGCCGGGGATCTTCACATTCCTTATCGAACAGGTTTGTCTTTCCCCATTTGTTGCATCTTTATCTTTATGGCCCAGTCCTCTGGACGAACATCCCTGCATTGAAGTTAAACAGCTGCCCCTCTAATGTGTCCATAAATTAAACCACTCTCCATTTCTCCAATCTCTGCCTCCCTTTACCACCTGAAGGAAACCAGGACCAGCGTTAACAATGTTGTCCTTGGTCCTGGGATGTTTGTTTTTCCTAGTGGAATTGGTTACATTCCCTTGGTTGTCCTTATCTCTGAAGCCTCCCTAAATTCTTCAGAGGTCCCCTCCTGCACTGTCCCTAAAACTGCCTAATTCCTAGCTTGCCCTGTGTCTCAATAGTGCGGTGCTTAACCCCTTGCACCAACCACCAGGGAGGCACCGCTTTTTTTTTAAATTTTTGCATAGAAAACTGGGCTGTAGGCCAGAGGTGTGGGGGATGAGGATTCACCAGAGATAGAGTGGGAATAGAACAGGCAGATTTTATTTTATTGAACACCTCATTTCCTTGTGGTGTCCAGCGCACACTTCAATATCTTAACACAGTGAATGACAGCAGCAGTTATACACTGACTACCTGCTTGCTGAGTGCCAGATACAGACGCCAAGTTCATGTACATGGAAGTGACTGATTTCACGTAACCCTCCGAAGTAGGACGACTGTCCCTTAAGAAGACAGGAGAAAAGGGAGACTCAAAAAGATTCAATCACTTGCCCCATATCAAGGGGTTAGTTGAAAAATCAGGACTACAAACAAGGCCCATTTGACATCAAGGTCAATGTTTTAATCACTGAAATATTCTGCTGAGGGGAGCAGCAGGCAAGACAGGAGAGGTCTGCTGTGCCATGTGGGTAGCTCCCTGGCTGGGATAGGAATCAAACTCTGGAGGTAGCAGTGATAGTACTGAGATTTGACCCTTACACCACCAGGGAGGCAAATAATTTTTTTTTTTAAGAAAAATTACTGTGGTGTGGGAAGCTGTTTTTACATGTGGTAGATCAAATGAAGACAGTATTAGTGATTTATTAAACATGTTTCCTAATGTTTCCTAGTGTTAGGCCAAGGGATTTTAGCCCTGAGAGATTTTAGTCTTCTTGTGTCCTTCAATTGGTTGCTTCTTGTTCCTTTCTCTCAAAGATTGGTTGTGAGCTCCTTCTAGTTGGGACTGAGTCTTCTGCATCATTTTATCCCAGAACTTTAATGAATCAGTTACAAAGTAGTGCTTTGAATGAAGCAAGAATAAATGGGATGATGCGATCTTCCTCCTTTCGTTTTGAGAAAATGGCATGAACCTTTTCTGTTTTATAATTTTACAATGACTAAGGGGGTTGGTTAGTGAGGAGAACTAAACCACAGTGGGGATGTGCAGAGATACACTTACAACATTCTCACAGTTGTTGCTCCTTCTTAGATTTTTTTCCTTCTGTCTGTAGTATCTGGAAGCTTTTTTTTTTTTCCCACTTTTTTTTTTTTTTTTAGTTCCCTGGCTGGGATGGGGACCCCGCTCAGGCGGTAGTGGTGAGAGTGCTGAAATTTAACCCTTAAACCACGAGGAAGGCCCTCAACAAATAACATTTTTTTTTTAAGAAAAATCACTGTAGAGTGGGAAGCTATTTGGCATGTGGTAGATCAAATGAAGACAGCTTTTATTTTTCTTCTTATAAAAATCCTACCTGAGTACAGAAAATGATATAAAACAAGCATATAGCTTAATGAATTATGAAGTGAATATACGTTTGAGAACACTACCCAAGTGAAGAAATTGAAATTTGCCAGCCACTCCAGTAACTCCTCCGTCTGTCCCAGTGCAACCAAGGCCTGTTCTGACCCCAGAGAAGTCACCATCAGGTTTTTATAACCACGTTCTTATACTTTTTAATGGTTGTATCACTTACCTATGCATCTCTACATCTCAAGTACAGTCTTGACCCATTTTTCTTTTGAGTGCCTTTTAATCTGTAAAATAAACTCATCTCTCCCAAGTCCTTTTCTTTTTCTTAAAATTGATCTGTGGAAGAATTGCAGGGCAGTGACACCACAGAATCCCCACCTGTCTGGGTTTTGCTGATCATGTGATTGGTGTATTCCCCTTGCTCCTCTGTCTTCTGCTTTCCCGGCAGATGGATTCGGAGGCTTCATCAGACTCAGATTAGATCCTTTTGGTGAGACCTGAGGTTTTTTTGTGTGCTGCACTCTTTCATTAGGAGGTAGACAATGCCTCATTTTCTCTCTTTGATATTAGCAATGGTAGACCTGGAATCTTTCCTTTCCTCATCATGCCCTGGTTTTTTCCCATGAGAACTGAGAATTCCAAGACTATAAACTAAGTGCTACAGATGCTCATAGGGTTGATACTTATGGGTTGATGTGCAGGGTTGGGGGGAAATTTCCCCTACACCTCTCAGTAGTTGTATTGATAGAACCAGGACATGGGCTATAGCTGGAATAGACTCACTGCCAGGGTTTCTTCCCTTCTTTGTAGATTAGAGATTTGCCCTGAGGTGATTTTGCCTGTTGCCTGGACCCAGGTGCTTTAAACTTGGGTTAATGGGGCCTCCCTGGTGGCACAAGGGGTTAAGATGCAACCTATGAAGTGATCCACAGCCTCTGCAGCACAAGTTCGATCCCTGGCCAGGGAGCTACCCACATAGCATAGCAGACCTCTCCTGACTTGCCTGCTGTTCCCCACAGCAGTGCATTTCAGTCAATCCACCTGTTCTGTTCCCCATTCTGTCTCTGGTGAATCCCCTCACCACCCACACCTCTGGCCTGTACCCCAAAAGAGTGAAGAGGCTGAGTCCTTCACCCATTTACAACCAGATGATACACAAATAAAGACTATGGTCCCTAGGGGGTGAAACCAGATGACCATGTCAGGAGTGCATAAAGAGGCAAAGGGGGTAAGAAAAATATAAATATAATTGTGTTTGGAGCATTACTGGGCAGCACAGTCCAAGAAGGGAAGGGATGGTGATGATAAGGAGCCTCCTATTTGTTCACTGAAGGACTCAGATCCACAATCTCAGTTGGTGTGCAAGACAGAGGGTTCTACCTGTGCAGAACCATGGGCACAGAGGAGCAGATATCTGTGAGAGAATGCTGGAGTAGTGGATTAATACTGACAAAAGTAGATGCTATACAGCGGGATAGCAACCAGGCAACCAGAGTTGGAGGATGAAATGCTCCACACCCCTTAACAGAAGTGCTGAGGATAGTGGACAGACTTCAGGACTGCTGGTCTCCCCTGGATGAATCTCCTTTCACTGCCTCCTCTTTCCTTCTTTATTCCCTGATCACAATGTTGGTGCATTGGACCTGTCGAGGGAGGCTCATACTTCTTTGCCTTTTTGATTCTCTACCTGTCTCTGGAATTTCTTGAAAACTTGTACTTTCTCTTTTTATTAGACTGGTTACACAATCTTAACTGATTTTGTAATCTTAACTGATTTTAACTGATCAGTTAAGATTTTCTAACTCTGACCTTTCTCTTGCTTGTTGATTTTGGGGGATCTTATTTGAATAAATACACACACACACACTTTCATTAACCTTATCTTCTTCATTCTATTGTTGAACTTCTTGAGAAAACGTTCCACACACATACCCAGAAAAAAAAAAACCCACAAAAACAAAACAAAAAGAAAATTATCTACACGCACTCTTTTTCATTAACTCTAATTTATTTATTTAAATTTTTTTTTCACTATTTTAGCCACATTTCAAAGCATCTAATATGATCTCAGCTTCCATTACTCCAATGAAATTCTTTTTTTTTTTAAACTTAAGTAACATAGGTTTATTACATTGTATAGGTTTCGGGTGTACAGTGTTATAAATCAACATCTGTATCTACTACATTATGTTCACCCACCAAAAGTCTAATTTGTATAGGTCACAATTGACTCCTTTTACTTGATTCGCCCAACCCCTTACCTCTTTGTTTTTAGTAATGAATGCAATTTTGTTTTTAGAGTCTAAGAAGGTGTTTTTGTTTTGTTTTGCTTTTTCATTCGTTTTTTTTTTTCTTTATCTCAATAAAACTATCTTGCCGAATCTCCTCATAACCAGATTTTGAGTTTCTTGTCTTTTTCCTCATATGGGTTTTTTGGTGTGGAATGTCCTTTTTTGTGTTGGCAGTGAATTGCCTGCTGGACATGCAGGTGAGGTTATTTTTTTTTTAAGATTTATTTTTATTTATGCATACAAGAGCTGGGGTACAGGCCAAAGATGTGGGGGTGAGAGGATTCACCGGTAACAAAACGGGGAACAAAACAGGCAGATTGACTGCCCCCCGTACACTGCTGAGGGGAGCAGCAGGCGAGTCAGGAGAGGTCTGCTGCACCAAGTGGGTTGCTCCCTGGCCTGCCGGGGGTCGAACTTGTGCTGCAGAGGCTGAGGATTGCTTCATAGGTTGCGTCTTACCCCTTGCACCACTAAGGAGGCCCTGCAGGTGAGGTTTATTAAGTGAATGAATAATCAGCAGGCAAGTAAATGTGACTCTACTGATTCTCTTACAGAGCTCTCTAAGTTTCCTGGCATATTTAGAGAAACAAGCTCTAATAGATGAAGACAATCTGAACTTACTGGTGGATCTCTTCAAAAACACTAAGCCTATCCTTATGAGAAAGATAGAAAAATATAAAAAAGAGAAAGGTAACTCACTTATGCTTGTTTCTTGTACCATACCATGGGAATTCTTAAACCAGTATCAATTGTATGATATTTACTCATCATGTATAATATTATTGGTCGTGTATGAAAAGGCAGAAATCTCCATTTGTTCATTCAACACATATTAATTGAATGTATACTTTGTGCTTCTAAGGTATAGCTTAGAACTAGGACATAATTCAAACCTGACTGCTTCACCATGTACCAATATGATAAATATTTGAATTTTCCTGAATAAGAGCATATTCATGAATCTTGTTACTCCATGCCCCTATTTTAATTCAGTGAACTAATCTAGTGTGCAAATTTGGTTAAAAATGAAACTAGCTGAAAAAAACACTCTAAGGATTCTATGAAAAAATATTTGAGGAACAGAATATATGGTTTTAAATATGTAAAATCTCGAATAACTGAAGCATTGAAAAAGTGCGTTGTGTAAGTAAACATTGTAAAAAATAAACACTTTTTTTCTAACCATCAAGTTATCAAGTGAGAAATAAAATCCGGAAGTTTGTAAGACTTGGTTTTCCTCATCCTACTGCTGTTTCCCTGTAACAGCATCCATGCCAGTTAACATCCGGGGGTGGTCAGATTATTTTGGTCATTTGAGCTCTGGAGAGGACACACTAGTTTTATGTAGTGAATGTTTACATTTGTCTCAGTGTTTCAAGGATTGAGCTTTATACCAGAGGAATTATAGTTTTATTTTTCTACAACTTACCTGCTGTGTAACCTCTACAGTGTTGAAAAGAAAACTCTTGCTTTCCTCTGCTGCTTCTCACACTAACACTTCTAGAACTGTTCTGAATTCAGCTGTTTAGATTTTTCACACCAAGCAATTCAATTGTCTATAGGCACAAAATTGGGTGTTCTACAATTTAGTTTCATTCTGGAACTAACCAGAATTAGCATAGATTCCACAGGTTAAGGACCCGTACCCCGAGCTTCTTCCACTTCTGGCCAATTTCAAATAGCAGGTCCCTGTATGACCCACAACCTGTCTCACTGCTATAAATCATGGTTCCCTTGACCTCCTTACTCTCAGGTTTAATGATTTGCTAGAATGGCTCACAGACTCAGGAAAACGGGTTATGTACTAGACCGATAGTTATCATAAAAGGTAAAATTCAGGAGCAACCAAATGGAAGGGATTCACAGGACAAGGCATGGGGGATGGGGCTCTTTTTCAGGTGGTTCAACCTCCGAGCATCTCCAGATGTTCACCAGCCTGGAAGCTTTTCGAGCCCCTTGATTAGGATTTTTAAAAAGTTTTATTTATTGTTTTGGCATAGAAGAACTGGGGTATAAGCCAGAGGTGCGGGTGGGGGTGGGGGTGAGAGGATTCACCAGAGACAGAGTGGGGAGCAGAACAGGCAGACTGACTGAAACACACTGTTAAGGGGAGCAATGGGAGAGATAGGAGAGGTCTGCTGTGCCATGTGGGTTAACCCTCTCACCAGGAACAATAGAGATGATAGCACTGAGACTTAGCTCCTAGGCCACCAGGGAGACCCAGATTTGTTCATTTATTAATTTAATTTATTTTTAATGGAGGCTTCATTATGTTATAGGACAGGGAGAGGGGCAGCCAAACCTCGCAAACCTTCCTATTCTATATAGGGTTCTGTCCTCTGCTGCATTAACACAAAACATGAGACTTTAATGGGAAGGAACTTTAATACAATTAGGAAACAATACAGGAAAGGCAAAGAACCTGGTTTCTAAATCAAGCACCCAAAGTTACCCGTCCCCTCGTGGGTAAAACTCCATCCAAATGGGATTGGCCCAGAGCAAGGCCCCAAAGCCTGCCACAAGTCTAAAGCATCTTCCAGGGGACCCACAGAAAAGGGTCAGAAACAACCAGACAAGCCCGGAAGAAAAGAGCAAAATCAAAATCAAGATAAAAGCTGCCATTGTTACCTCCCCACTGGTCTCCACCCACATCTGTGTTACCCCGTCCACAACCAAAAGACAAGCGCAGTTTCTTCACGTGTCTCTAGGCTCCATGTGCCTCCCCCAGGTCTCCTTCTGGCTCCATCCTGCTTCCTTCCTTCCTCAGTGTCCTCTGTAACTTCTCTCCCTGCTCAGCTCCACCTGCCCTTGGTTGGGGCAGGAAACCTGGAACCTCCCCCTTTCCTGGGAACCACCTTGTTACAATTATGGTAGGCATGGTTGATTACGTAAATGGCCCTAATGATTCACTCAGCCCCTCTGTCTTTCCAGAGTTTTGGGTGGGGCTGAAAGTTCTAACCCTTTAATCTCAAGGATTGTTTCCTGACAAACAAGCCCCATCCTGAGGCTATCCTGGGCTTCCAGCCATTCCATTAGCATACAAAAAAACACTTGTTAAATATCCAAAGTTTTAGGAACTGTGTGCTCCTAAAAGGAGAAGACACCAACTATATCGCCAAATATATCATAGATGTCACTATTTTAACATTGACTTTCAAGGGTCTTAAGAATTTGGGACTAATTCTACCATTTAAGATGGAAAACTAAAGGACCAAGAAGATGGTAGGTATATAGATTTTAGACTTTTCTTTACGTGTGATCCAAAGACAAAATCCATTCTGATTGGGCTATGAGCTCTATTTAAGGATCACCTGGATAATTTCTGAGTTTTCCTGAACCTTGGTGTTTCCTTTAGTATTTTCAATTATTAAAAATGACATTATAATAATAAAAATAAAATAAAATTTTAAATAATAATCAGTAACATACAGTGTAGAAAGTAAAAAGGCTCTCCTACTGCCAATTCATTTCTTAGAGATAACCACAGTTTTGAGAATATTTTTATAGCTTTTCTCCTATAGAGAGATAGTTTTGTGTATGTAGATTGATAGATATAATATACATTTGACCAAGATCATGCTAATCATATTCTATAACTTGCTTTTCTCCACCTAATATATCTGACATCTTCCCATGTATATAATATAGATAAAGCTCATTCTCAATAATGGTTTTATCAAGTACAGGGGAAAATTTCCCAGACCTCTGGATTCTCTCAAATTGGCTGATCAATTAACATCAAACATATTAGTAGGAGAAAAGAACAAATTTAATTTACACATGTATGGAGAATCTACATGACTAAATTTTAAAGCAAGTGAGACAGACCTGAGGTTTATATCCTTAGCTAAGAAATTGAATAGGTACCTGGAGCACTGAGGTGAGAGGAGGTTCCCATGTGGCAAGGAGTGATGCCTTCATGTGACAAAACCTTGACTCTAGATGCTTACCTTTCTTTTTTTTTAAAACATCTGTGTTTTATTTATTTGTTTGTTTATTTATTTTAATTTATACAAGTACTGGGTACAGTCAGAAGCGCAGGAGGGTGAGAGAATTCACCAGAGCCAGAGCGGGGAGCAGAGCAGCAGAAGACTGAAGTACACTGCTGAGGGGAGCAGCGGGCGCAGGAGAGCCTGCGCGCCATGTGGGACCCTCCCCTAGTGCCGGGGAGCAGCCGGGGATCGAACCGGCGCTGCAGAGGCCGCGGGCAGCTTCGCAACCCAGTGCTCAACTGCTGTGCCCTAGATGCTTACCTTTCTTTAAGGGAGGTTTCTCTAATAAAA